GGCAAATACTTTTTCATGGCACTGTAGAAAAAGTGATATGGTCAGATTCATCCAGGGTCATCCTTCACTATATTCTCCTCAAGTGCGTGAGTGCATGTGTGACCTATACCAAGAGAATGGTACAAGCTTGACCCGTTTGGGTCCACTTGTCCCATTAGAGAGAAAGGTCATTGCAGATTAAAGATTCTGCCTGATCACCTTCATCCTACGATGAAACATTCTATTCTGATGGGAGTGGTCTCTTCCAGGATGATAGTGCCACTATCTGCAAGGCATGAGGGGTCACTTAATGGTTTGATGAGTTTGAAAATGAAGTAAATCATATGCTAAGGCCTTTGCAGTGGCCAGATGAACGTGAGAGACTGTGAGCCAACATGTTAGGCAGCACTCTCCATCACCATCATCAAAACACCAATTGAGGGGATATCTTCAGGAAGAATGGTGTACCATCGCTCCAGTACAGTTCCAGAGACTTCTATACCCAAGGCACAGTGAAGCTGTTCTGGGGGCTGGTGGTGTCCCAAATTTGTGACCCATCTATACATTTGTCCTAGTTATGCATGGGTTCATAGAATTCCAGTGCACAAGTCACTTAAATTTACAGTGTGCCAGTCCAATGTAGTCACATACTGTTTGTTATTGTGTGCAAGAGGAACCACTTTTTGCAACTGGAAGCAACAGATGCCACAGTTAAAGCAGATGGTCCCACAGCTTTATCCATGTCAGCCTCACTTAAAAGCTGTCTGGGAGGCTGGGATTCACACTCTGAAATCATAATGATTGATTGTGCTCTTTACAATGCTTTCAGGAGTAATGTTTACATAACACAGGTGCTGTAAAACACGGTCCCATCTGGGGGAGAGAGCCTGTGGAGACAGTTCCACTCTATCTCCGTGCCATCTCTGAATTATGTAAAACCTTCAGTTGGCCTGCATATGCTGAAATGAATCAGAAACATATCACCTACAGAGGGCTTGGGACTTATAATGGTGTTCTTAACCCCTTAAAATCCCAGGCTTATTACATACTAAGGGTGGTATTCAGTAACTACTGGGACTTTAATGCACTATTCTTAGGTCATAGAATTGTGTAATAAAACGTTGGGCCTGCTAGCAGGGCCTGGACTTTAATAGGGTTAAAGCAATAGCATGTTTTTTAAAATAAAAGAAGAATGTATACAATTTTTATCTTAGAATAAACTAAATGTGATTTATCGGCCAAGACATGTTTGGTGTCCAAAGTTTATTTTTGCACTAGAGCTTCAAGGCTAATGTAGTTAACAAGTAATGGATGCAATTAGCATTGTGCAAACTGCATGGCTGAATTATTACACAAACTTACTTCAAACTGCATTAAGTTGTTAAGTAATTCCTAATAGACTGGCTTATCTGCTTTCTGAAACAGTATGACACACTGTTATCTATGAAAGTGGCCTTAGATTTGAGTTTGGACATTACTAATGTTGTTTGTTTATTGATAAAGCTGTACTGCCTTTGTTTTCATGTTATTTCCTCTATATTGTTTTGTTATTTTATCTACTTTATAGCATTAGAAAAGTGCTAGATAAATAAAAGTTTATTTAAAAAGTTAAAGTGTTAGTAAATGTTTAAAAGTATCCTGGATAACTAAAAATAGCTTGAAATTTGTCCACACTTTTGTTTTAAAGAACAGTGGTAGGAGAGGTGAGTTAGCAACCAGAAGGTTGTGGGTTCAAATCCCAGGACTGAGTGTAGACTGGGGTTTTGCCCTTGAGCATTTATCCCTCACTGCCCCCAGCTGTGCTGCTCCCAGACTGGACACAGTTAGGCAGCAAAATTACAAACTGTCCTTGTAGGATCAGTAAAGTTCACAACATAAAACTAATTTAGGACAAAGTGAACAATGTGTGTATAATTACAGTGTAATTATTCAGGAAATGTTCTGTTTAAGAATAATGTTTCTCAACATAAAATAGCAAAGATCTAGGCGATTTCATTGTCTACAATACACAATATCATTAAAAGGTTCAGAGAATCTGGAGAAATCTCTGTACACACAAGACAAGGCCGAAAACCAGTATTGGCTGGCTGTGTTCTTCAGGCCCTCCGGCAGCACTGCTTTAAAAACAGACACAATTCTGTAGTTGAAATCACTGCATGAGCTCAGGAACACTTCCGAAAACCACTGTGAACACAGTTTGTCACTGCATCCACAAATGCAAGTTAAAACTCTAAAATACAAAGAAGAAACCGTATATAAAAAGGATCTAGAAATGCTGCTGCCTTCTCTGGGCTAAAGCTCATTTAAAATGGACTGAGGCGAAGTGGAAAAGTGTCCTGTGATCCAACAAATCAACATTTTAAATTCCTTTTGGAAATCATGGACACTGTGTCCTCCGGGCTAAAGAAGATCTAGCTTGTTCTCAGCACACAGTTCAAAACCCAGCATCTGTGGTGGTATAGGGGTGCATTACTGCAAATGGCATGGGTGACTTACACTGTGAAGGCACAAATAATATATATATATATATATATATATATATATATATATAATAGAATAATAGAATAATACATCAGATTTTCTCAGTTTCAACTTTTGATATGTTGTATTTGTACTATTTTCACTAAAATATACTGTTTTATAAAAATACAATAAAATATACTGTTATATACTGCACAGCTTTAAGCCCCCAGAGTCAAAATAGTTCGGGCACCCCGGCTCAAAGCAATGTGGAGTATTGATTCAAGACAGACATATGTGGGTTAAAGTTTGCAGTTCCTCCACATACAAATACACAGGACACCACAGTCTGATAAAGAGTAAGTCATTCTTCACCATTTGGCAAATACCACAAAAAAAAACACAAAAAAGAGCCCCATGTGTGTTTAAGAACAACGACACTGCCAACCACAGCAAGAGTAAGCACAGCTGTTTCTTGATTAATGAGAGACTGAGGGCGAGAGAAAGAGAGAGAGAGAGAGAGAGAGAGAGAGAGAGAGAGAGAGGATGGTGTTTTCATAATGAATAGATGAATGGCTGTTGATTAGTTGGAAGAAGAGCTGCTAGGAAAATGTGACAGCTGGAGAGAGAGAGGGAGAGAGAGAGAGACAGAGAGATAGAGAGAGATTGAGAGAGAGAGGGAAAGACAGAGCTTTTCTTTGAATTGACATCTATCTTGTGGTGAGCTGTGAGTGCTGTCTTGGCCTGATAAAGCCTGCTGTTCTTCTTCCACACAGACTGTCCACAACACAGGAGAGTAGCCAACCTGCTCCATCACACGCTCAAACACACACAAACACGCAGCAGCAAACACACAACAGAGACTGGCATCACTCCACCAGCAAACTCACACACACACAGACAGACATTCAGCAGCCATCAACACATCACCACAGCAGTCACCATTCATTACAGCTTAAATCTGTCAGTAAGCTACTCAGCAGACCAACACTCCTCTTTTATCTTTCACATCTCAGCCAAATTAGATCAGAGTTTAAAAGGGTGCAGGGAACAAAAACAGACAACGAAAAACACAGAATGTTTTTTTATAGAGTGCAATCAACAATGGGAACATAATCACTTTTAACTGTTCAATGAAAACTTTTATGTTGTTATTCTTTTAATAATCACTTATAATCACTTATATAATCACTCATAATCCTAATTAGTTATAGTGTCACTAATGACTTTGACATAAATTATGTTGTCAAAGAATTTTGACTTAAGAATTTGATATTGTGGAGTAGCCAGCTCTCCACTGTCTTCCTTCAAGAGTGCCATGTTAGATGAAGAGGGCTATCTGATGCTAAGATGTGTTAAGTATCAAATATAATCATCAAAAAATTAAAATGATCATTAACAAAATAAAAATAATCAAATTAAAAAAAGACATTGAAATGGTGAGCAGAGAAAACGAGCTTTAGCTGGAAGAAACACATAAACTCATCTCCTGTTTGGGAACACTTTGTTTCCCAGTTAAGTACAACAATGACGGGCAACTAGGCAATGAGTGGTAGACGGAATGGTGGCAGTGTGCCGGTGTGACGCGAGTAACGAGTATCCGTGCTAATGCCTTGTAATGATCAGTTAATTTAATTTTGAGATGTGGATTTATAGTCTACACAGTTTTTGTTTACTTTTATTATTATGAGCATGTTTTCCAGATGCATGTTATATACATCTTTCACTTATGTTTATATAATTGGTATTTATTTTTTATCTTCTTGATATACATTATGCTCATGTGATACATTTACCAGTTGCAAATGATCACCCAAATGCAAACAAGCAGTATTTATGATTTCATAGAGTTATCGATGATGGTGTGAACACGTCTTAGACTTCTCAGTGTTGATTGGCGTGTGTGAATATTTATTGGTTTATGTGTGAGTCTGTGTCACCATCTATATGTGTTATCTTTCATGTTTATGTCATTTGTAGATTGTTTGTCATTTGTAGACCAATTTGTTTGAAATATGTCAAGAATTAAGGTAGCAAAACACAGCACTGAGGCCAGCAATACCAGTAATATCAGTAATGTTAGCACTGGAGAACACCTTCACTAGACCACACTGCACAGTACTCAAAGGATAACTATGGATAAATGAATGAGCAGCAAACTAACAAAAGCAACAGCAAGGTGGAAAGGCCCAGTTCACATTCAGATGAACCCTGTGCTCACATGATGAAAATAATACTACTGATAAGTAATAAATACATCCTGATAAAGCTTATTATACCCACTCTTGGCTTCTCTATTTAGCTAGAACAAAACCCCCGGGAGGATTTTTACTTTCTGGACCTGAACGAACCACCTCTGCACTCATGTAGCTGTAACAAAATGCATTCATTTTTAAATGAGAAATAAAACTTTATCTAAAGTCAAATTTAAACAAACACTACAAATATGATTGTTAGCAATAAACTATGCAAAGAATGTAACTTATCATTGTTGATTCTTTCAATGGTTTGACAGCCCAAGTTTCTGTGTGTATTGTGTGTTTCAGGTGGGTGTGTGTTACCTTCTGTCTAAGCTGAGCACAAATGTGTTGCTGGTGTGTGCGATGCTTCTGCAGGTTCTGCTGTTCTCTATGCTTGTCTCTGGCCTCCTCCAGCACCTCCAGAGCACGGAGCAGCAGCGCAGTCCAGTCCTTGCTCCAGCACTCCAACAGCAGCCTCTCACGTGCTTCACTGAACCTGTACCAGTCCCAGCTCCGCCTGTGAGCACTCTGAAACCACACACACACACACACACAGGTTGTGAGAAGACACTTGTGTATGTCCTCCACCCAGAATTGAAGTGGAAAAAATATGTTCTGTTACTCCCATTTTTGGCATGTGTCTTTACTAAAGTGCCTCCTTTACATTGAATTTATTGTATAATATAATACTATTATATTGTGTGTTACCCTTAAATATTAGCAGGTCAGCAACAAAAACTTGATGAGAAAAGAAAGGAGAGAGGTAACAACCTGGAAACACTAAAGTTTTTCAAAGGTATTCCAGGCATAGTTACAGTCGCTAGGCTATGAAGGTCCAACTGGGTAAGCCAATCTGATACAGCGCCACCCTGAATATGCATTTGAGCATCTATTTTTCCCTAACAGGCAGCATAACGCCATAATAAGTTTTCAGGGACCCCCCCTGAAATTTGATTTTGAGACATTCAGGGGGTCCAAGAAATTAATTAGGAGGTCCCAGACCCCCTAGATAGCCCCTGTATTATGCACCTTGGATCCAGTCATGTCACCACTGATTTGATAGTCTTGGAATGCGAACTTTTCTGCATTATCAGAACATCACTGTTTGCACGTTGAATGTCATGACACTACAAAACAAAAGCTTAAGAAACTACCAAGGTCTGGACCTCTGTGTCTTATGGCCCTTATCGCCCACTACTATAAAAGTGGAAGTACATAAGAAGATTCCAAACAGCAACATAGAAAGTGCCTCTATTCTGTATTGGTGGGCACTGACCTACTTAAAGCACAACTTTCAAATGCAGCATTGCAGTGCTAATGCGTAGGACCATGACTGAACTCAAGTCTAGGAGGCCCTCACAATGCATAGTTTATGGCAGCAGCCTCAAAAAGCTAACAGACATTTAGTCAGCATAAGACTGTTGACAAATGAAGAAAAGAAGGTTTTAGCGAGGGAGTGATGTAAAGAAGGAATTAGCACTGGCGGTGAAGGAAAAAAAGCATTAGAGAGAGCAAAAGGAGAGAAGGAATTAGTGTAAATGTGAAGACATTAATATAGAAGTAAGGGAGAGAAAGGCATTAGTACAGAAGTACAAGAGAGTAAGGCACAGCAGAGAAGTAATAGAGAGTAAGTGGAGAAGGCAATAGGGAAGAAGTTTAGTGAAGAAGCGAACTAGAGAAGGCAGTAATGTGGTAAGTCAAGAAGGTAAACTCTCAGTGTAGAGGAGTAGGACAGAAAATGCGAATGTAGAAGTGAAGTTAAGAAGGCATTAGTGTAGAAGTGTAGAAGAAATAGTGTAGAAGGTATCGGTGTAGAGGTATAGAGAGGCATGAGAGGCATTATGTATCTGCTTAGTATTATTGGGAGAGAGTTAGCTGGCAGGAGAGCTGCAGTAAAACACCATCACACAGCGAGAAAAGCAGCAGAGCCAAGCATGAATATTACTGCAGCGCTCAGACAAGCTCAGACAGATCCATCACGATTCTCTTTGTCAGGAGGTTTGAGAAAATCGCTCATAAATTTCAGTATAGAACTTTATTTGTCAGATACTTTGTGTGTCTATGTGTCTGCAGCTTTGTACAGCTTTGTTGTGTCAGTCTGTGTGACCAAATACAGTAATGTGGTAAGTGGTCACCCAGCCACAGATTTCCACATTGTTTAACTGAAACTGCTAAAACCAATTTTGTGCCTGGTAAAGCTCCACAATTGTATGCAAAAGTTTGAACACCCCCTGTCAAATTACGTTTAGTTGATTTAGTTGAGTTATATATGTGATATAGTTATGTATGTATTTGGCAAATTATGACACATTCTGTATGTCACTTTACATGATGTCACTATGTATGTCAAAATTTTAGCCCAACTTAAACCACCCTCCTGCACCCCTGACTGAACGTGTCTATAGGAGACGCTCACTTCTAAAGAGCATCGCTCTTTCATTCTGTGTGTTTGTATGGATATGGCCCATCATCCCTGAGTGAGATGAGTCATGTTTTGATGTGGAAAATGAGAAGTCCCTGTAGTCAAAGAAACAAATGGACCTCAGTGCGTTCAGGACACGGCAAGGACCATCAGATGGCTTTTCCATTAAACCTATGAAAGGTAGCAGGGGCTGGATGGGCGTGACACTACTGACAAGCCACAAGGGGGCACTATAACACGGACAGCCCATCTGCTGCTCATGTTACATTGAGAACATGTTCTGAAAGAGTATAACAAAGTTAAAAAACTACAGGATGGGTTCCAGAAGTTATACAGTCATAATTCACATATATACAAGTATTACTTGCATGCGTATTGCTACATTTATTATACTGAAACAGTGTGGTACAGACGACACAATGAAATGAGGGAGTAACTTATTGATTACTGATGATGTAGAAAACCACTAATTGTTATATAGTTATGCTGCTATGTGTGCACTATGTGTATATACTGTATTGTTTTTGCACCAGTAAGCCAAAACTGTATGACCACCTACCTAATATGCTGTTCGTAGCACAGATCATTTAAGTATGTTGTAAGATGGAGCTTCCATGGATCAGACTTGTTCTGGCACATCCCACAGCTGCTCAAATGGATTGAGATCTGGGGAATTTGGAGGCCAGAGTAACACCAACCATTCTCAAACTGTTGAAAGTGGCCACCGCTGTCAGGGAATCCCATTGCCATTAAGGGGAGTATCTGGTCTGCAGTGATGTTGAAGTGTGTATGACGTGATGTAAAAAAAATTAGACTCATTGGACCAGGTGACCTTCTACCATTGCGCCAAGGTCCAGTTCTGGCACTTGCGTGCCCACTGTAGGTCCTGTTGATGACGGACAGGGTAGCATGGGCACTCTAACTGGTCTGCGGTTACACATCTCCTATGCAGCAGGGTGCGATGCACTGTCCTGTAGCAATCATTAAACATTTCTGTGACTTGTGCCACAGTAGCCCTTCTGTCTGTTCAGACCAGACAGTAAAGCTTTTGTTGCTCTTGTGCATCGACGAGCCTTGGGTGCCCACCACCCACTCGGCAGTTTGGGATTTGTCCCCCCTCATATCACTGTCGCTAGGTACTCACCACTGCTGACCAGGAGCAGTCCAAAAGCCTTGCTGTTTCGGAGATGCTCTAACCCAGTCGTCTGGCCATAATCATTTGGCCCTTGTTAAAGTGGCTCAGGCCTTCATGCCTCACGCATTTCTCCCACACCCCACATGTCGACTACGAGAACTGACTGATCACTTACCCTCTAATATGTACCCGGATTGAATTGAATGGAAAATGTGGTATGAAAAGTTATCAATCAACACAGGAGGATTTTGCATGCATTTACTAAGCCTGACGATTCTCTCCTAAATGTGTAGCTCCATTGGAAAAACAGTGAATCCTCTGGGCCTGCTTTAAAGGAAAAGTTTAGTAAAAAATCAGGTTTACACATTTTTAACTTGTTTTAACAGATGTAGTTACCCACAAAAGACATGTTTATGTTTGAAGCTTGAGTTCTTAGTTTTTACTAATGTAGCTAACAAATAAAGGAATTATATATCTTATATACCACTTAGCATCATGTAAATTGCATGCCAAAATCCATGAGTTTAGTCCATTTTTAAGTAAAAGTTTCCTGAATAATCTACTTTGAGTTAATCTGAAAAGAAGTACATATATAAAAGTACATAAATTCAGGCCTTAAGATGGCTGGTACATTTTAGCAATGCAAGATATTTGCATCATTTTTTAAGATAACAGTATGTTACACAGTGTTAAACACCTCTTATGTAAGTCTATTTAAGATTACTTTACAACTCAATACAGTTTAAGGTAGTGCCTGAAGATTCAGGCATGCCGTCTGACAGTGCTAATTGGTGGACTATAAGCTCTCATGACTCGTTAGCTACATTGGCCCTTCAGACACCAAACACATCTTGGCTGATCGATCACATTTCGGCAAATTGGCCAAGTGGGCAAATCTGATTTTTCACTAAACTGTTCCTACAGCTTAAAAAACTGTGGTGAAACAGGGTTTCCTGTTCACTCATTAAACAGATAACTCTAAGAATACAGAATTCGTCTAACAGACTGTAGAACCATATACTTGGTATGTGTTACAACGAGGTAACCATTAATGAAAGCGCATATGCTAACATGAATTCCCCAACTCTACATGAATATTTATCCATTGCACGACATCATTAAATTCAATATGGCATCTGAGTGAGTTTCACACCCCTGATTTAGGGCAGCCTCTGCTCACCATGGGTGGGCAGCTGTGGATGTGTTTTAAAAAGAACTTGTTTCCCCTCAAGGCCTTTCATTTAGCCACATTCACTCAAACCGTTCAACTCTAATTATTTCCCAAAGAGGGTGATTAGCCCAGGAACGCAGTTTCAGCCTTTAAAGAGAGCCATTGTCAACAATTCGTTTGATGCCGCCGTTTCTCTTTTTTTAAATGAAAAAGGACAGAGAGTACTAGAAAAGCAGGAGGAATCAAAGCAGAGAGAGAGAGAGAGCGGGAAAGAAAGAGAGAGGGGCTTATTGCCGTTTTTCATTCCTTTAACACACTTTCAAGATGTGAGAGAACTGAGAGAGAGAGCGTCAGAGAGAGAGTGAGAAAGTGTTCCTGCCTCGTTCAGCTGCAGGTAAATTGGGCTCAGAGTGTTTTATAGGGGAACGTTTTCTCACTTCAAAGTCTTGAATGGGCAGAGGTTCAGAGGGAGCCTGAGCAATGCTGCCCACCTGCGCTGTTTTACAGCCTGAGCTCTGTAATCCTGTGGTGGTCGCCACACTAAAAATCAGGCTTCTAAAGCCGCATTCAGTAGAAAACAATAGAAAATATAAAACGTAATTGCACACAATTGCTCTGCAGTGCTGTCACTGTGACACAGATAAAAGCTAAACTCATGCACACTGCCCGTCAAATGCTTGGGGATACTTAGCTTTTGGTCAGAGGAAGATTTTCCTTTCTGGGGAATCTAGATCCAACCACAATCTGCCACACTTGCTCCACCTAATTCACTACTTCTGAAGGCCTTGTTTGGCTGGATC